CTAGAATATGGGCATATTATTTTGGAATTTTGAATTGACCAACCTTCCTATTTTTAAAAATTTAGGATTACATATGTGTCTCCAAAAAATTGACATACTTTTTTATCTAAGTTTATGATTTAGAATTTAGGATTTAAAGTTTAGAGATAAGGAATTGAGATTTATGATTAGGATTTAGGATTATAAGATTTAGAATTTATGTTTAGAATTTAGGATTTAGGATTACAATGGTGTATCCGATTTTTGGACATCAATATTTTTAGATTTTAACTTGATTTGGTTTAAGGATTAGGATTACATGTAAGTTTCTAAAAAAATGGCATAATTTTTTTGGAATTTTGGATTGACCTACTACTTATTTTTAAGAATTAAAATTCCAATGATGTAATTAAATTTACTTATGCTTCTTTAATTTGGTAGATATAGATACTTTGACTTTTAGATGTTGAGTTAACTTATTTGTTAGTAGAGTATTTCAACATTTTAAAGAGACATATCCTTTTATTTTGGAATGTTGTGAATTTAATAGTATATTTAGTTTTTCCAAAGATTGTATGATTTGGATGATATGGAGGTTTTAAGAATAAACTTCAAGAATTTTGATAAATTCTTAAATTTTTAGAATTTTGAAATTTGGAGGTGACTTACTCCTTATTATTGAAGGTTGTGAATTCAACAAAGTAAAATCATTTATGCTATTTCTATTTGAAAGATATGAAGAGTTTGGCCTTTTACTTTTTATGTTGACTTTAAGATGTTAAGATTTAGAGTTTAGGATTTAGGATTTATAATAATAAAAAAATATAATTTCATATAAACTTGATATATGCCATTACAAATGCCTCGAAAAATCATTCAGGGGTTTAGGATTGTATTTATATTCTTCAAAAATTGGCATACTTTTTTTTGAGATTTTAAAGTGACATATGTGTTTCCAAAAAATTGACATATTTTGTTTGGGATTTTAAGTTAACCTATCCTTCCATTTTCAATGGTGTAATTAATTTTACTTATGCTTCTTTTATTTGGTAGATATAGATACTTTGATTTTTAGATGTTGGGTTGGCTTTTTTGTTGGTAGAAAATTTTAATATTTTGAAGAAACCTATCCTTTTATTTTGGAGTTTTGTGAATTTAATGGTATATTTAGTTTTTTCAAAGATTGTATGGTTTGAATGATATGGAGGTTTTAAAAATGAACTTTAGAGTTGATAAATTCTTATATTTTTAGAATTTTAAAATTAGAGTTTAGGATTTTGGATTTGATGGTTTAGGATTTAGAAATAAGCCTAAAACCTAAACCCTAAAACACAAATTACTTTTCATCCATTCTTTCAATTCATCCTTGAATTAAATTTCATCTAATAAGTTTCATCCAGGCTTAGATTATGCAAAATCCTAACCTAATTTCATCCTTGCTTAATTGATTATCTGGATTTCATTTACCTTGCGGGTTGCACTGAATAAGGGCGAGTGTCGAAGGACGTCGGTTGCCTTGGCTAACTTCTACCTCCCTAATAACTTTGGATGGAGTATTCCAATCCGACTTGTTGTATCTAATTTTGCATTCTTGTGCAACTCCTCGTGCAACTCCTCGAGGTCGATGGAAAGCTTCAGACTTGCTTGTAGATTCCATCGTGGACTGAACTCCGTCAGGAAGTGCACATGATGTAATCAGTTTGGGGTGTTTATTAAAGGTTGAGGAATCTACAGCTCGTAAGTGAACGTGAAGTTGGTTCGAACAACCAACAAGTGAAAAGAAGACGATAAAGGAACATAAACCATACAATATTGTGGCCCAAGCAAGTGCTGGATCCAGTCAAGACGATTGCGCTTCTTACGCTTCCACTGTAGCGCCAATGGTACGAAACTATAAATGAGCTCGAATGGCTCAGAAACCACACTGACGAAGGGACCAATGCCAACGGCTCAGAAAAAATTAAGAACAACAACATGGGGAGGAATATAAATAGAATCAGCACCGACAACAACACCTCTCCATCAATACAGTAGACAGTAGAATCTTCAACATGAACCACGGCGATTGCAATCCATGCACTATGGCTAGAGAAGGAAGAACTGATCTTTGACAAAACTCCAGTTACCAACAAGAAGAGAAGTTAATCATCAAGGCGGCGATAGCCCCGCATACATCAACTCTACATTCCATAGTGCAACTGGCGAAGGTGTCACTCGAGAACACTTTGGTCACTGCCAAACCAAAGAGATGATCGATGTTGAGCAGGGCACGGAACCTAAACCTAGCAGCACCGCTGCTTGAGGAAATCACTTCCGTGTCTTACGCAAAAATTGCAAAATAAAGAACAATAAGAAAAAATGGCCAGCAGCGTTGCACTGCAATCAAGAAAGAGAGAGGAGAAAACCACTCTAGCTGAGAAGCGCCACTGCAATAGATTCTTGTGCTTTCCCACACTGTATCGCAACTATGTTGTGCTTTTGCATAATCGCACACAGAAGAGGACACAAAGATGGCAATGGAACTCTTGTTCTTCATCAACGTCACGTGTTAACACAGTCAAATTTCTGCTCCAGTCGCATCACACAACAAAACTGAATGGAAGGAGATTAAACTTTTAATAGCAATAAAATTGTTATTATTAAAATCCAAAATGTATATGAGAAATATTTATTTTAAAGTTCCTTTTCAAAGAAAACTCTACAAGAGACCTAATTTTGTATAGAAATCCTATTTTTTTCTATTTATCTCAAAACTTCTATGCTAACTCACTGAACTAGTGACTTTAAGTACCACAAGTGCATTTTTTGTACCAAAACATACCAGTATGTCAATTCCTTGACTCACATAGAGCACCTGGACTAGCGGAGCTGGTTGGCTTTTCCACCCAATTCCATTGTCGACGCCCCCTGTCCCCTCACGCGCACACTGTTTCCTGATTTGCTCTTTGCATTGTAATCGGGTCCCCTCAGTAGAACGGAGAAGGATGGACAACGCTAACCGAAGAGGTAGTGCAAGACCAAGGCGACACGCGCCGGTCCAGGTAGCGAGCTGCCAGATGGGCCCACGCCCAAAATTAACACACTCTGCCACACCACCAAATCAAGCCCCCGCCCTCCAAATTAGCATCGTCCCCAGGCTCTCTTGCATTCTGCAACCACACCACCCCCATCCTACACCACAAACAAGGGGTCTCCACCACACCCTGTCACGCTTGCACTTCTTAGCCACTAAACACCATACTCAGCAAGCATGGGAGGGGCACGTTTGACAGGTTCTGATCATGATTACCATTTTTTTGTGTTTTGATGGTTCTGTTTCTTCTCTCGGTTCCTTCTCTTCTCTTCTCTTAACCCTTATTCAATATTTTGATGAAGCGCAGTGCAAATCGGTGATCCTTCTTCTTTCCTAGTCTCATGTTGCGCCTAGTTTCTGGGCAGACGACGCAGTATACTTTGGATTGGCGAGGAAATGAGGAGTAAATTTATGAATGTCTATACGTTTCGGTGGCGCGGAGAAGTTGACTATATGTCTCCGACTTTGTGCTGAACTGCTTTGATTGGAGATATCAGTCAAAAATCACCTAAAATGGCGACTAGGTTGACATTTTTCTTTTACCGATTTCAATATCTTTAATGCGAGGTATTACAACAACAGTATTAATTCGAGCTTTTAGAAAGCGTTTTCAGTAAGTCGGACGGCTGATGACTTTGTCCTGACATATGCTTCTAAGACAAGTATATTTACACGTATTTAGCGTATTCTCCCTACTATCATGAGCCATGTACCTACTTATAGAATCTATTCGTGATCCAGCGCCTGAGAACCGTGATTTTTAAAACCAATAGAATCGGTAGGCTCCACCTCTCAATGCTTAAAAACCCTTGATTTATTCTCCAATGTCTTCTTCAACGTGTCTATGTGAGGCAAGAAACTGGATTTTCTTAGAGAACAGTAGAGCCAACGGATCCAACAAAAACAAGCAGGAAATCAGCATTGTGACGGTATCTGTTGAAGACAGAGGTCCCTTCGTACCCACGTCAGGTATGTATATCCGTTGCTGTCGAAGGTAGGCAGCATTGAGAAGAGCGTGAGGCGCAGCATGGTGCCAAGACAGGCTTTGGATTGTAACCAAGTTTGCAAGGTTGAATTTCCTTCTACTTCCTGGAGACTTTTTCATCTTTTTTTTGGCCACACTCCCACCACAGTGAATTAAGTTACTTATTGAGCATTGGAGAGAATGAAAAAAAATTTAAATCCATTTCTATCCAAACAAAAAACCTTAGAAAAGTTTTTTAAAATTTTTGTTGCTTATTTTTTATTGGTAGGATTTAATCAAAAAGTAATAAGAGAAGCCAAATAGAGGGTAGGCTAAGGGTGTGAGTAGTTCAAAGAAAGGTGCAATTTCTCAACGTAAATTTTTTGGTCAATAAATGAAATATTAATATAAACTAAAGCCAATTCCACCATTTGAATTTGTACCAAAGATTTCTAAGATGGAAAAATAAATAAATAAATAAATAAATAAAAATCATATCTACTGTGTAAGACAATCTTTCTGTTTCTTGACTTTAAAAAAAAAAATGAAACATATATTAGAAGAATGGTTCTTCTCTTTGCATGCTATACAACTATTGCTAGAGCAATATACATGCATTAAACATTTATTATTATTATTTTAGATTAAGAGATACTAGGTTATAAGTAATAAATGGAAAAAATAATAATAATAATAATAAGTGAGGAATAAGAAATAGTATGTGAAACAAATGTTTTTTAAGAGTTATTAAATTTAAGATTATTATATTTTACTTATTTTTAAATTTATAAAATTATTTTAAATTTTAAAATCACAGATCCGGTTTTATTATTAATATAAAACCATCTATTTATAGATATTGAGTATTTTTAGATGTTGATGTTATTGCAAGGATAAGATTTGTAATTTTAAACAGATTACTTTGTACTTTGAACTAAAATATTAGATTATTGGAACAAGAAAATGTTGAAATAGCATGGATAATTACAAAGTAAAAACTACTCCATATATAAATGTAGAATTGATATAACTCTAATGATGTAGTAGCTATTTATAAAAGTGACACTTTTTCACTTATTCCTAAGCATTATATTAGATGCATTTACTATAAACCTCCGACAATGGTATATTGTCACTTTGAGCTAGGATCTGGGCATTTTTAATCAAGTTTCTGACCACACAATGATTGAATTTTACAAACAGTACCTCCTTCCAAAATTCTAGAGATAATGTTCCTTGAAAGCCAACTCGATTTAGGGAATCCGTCCACAATTGCTTGCGTTCTATGTCGTCAAATTCTTGAAATTCAACAAACAAAGACATTCTCGAAAAGATTGCTTCCTCAAAATGATCAACCATATTGTTTGTCAGAAAGAGAAGACCCTTATAATATTCCAAAACCCGTAAGAACACTCCTGTCATTGCATTGGTTGGAGTAACATCTGAGCTTGGAGGTGAGTGTTTTCTGGACGATAGATACACATCAGCCTCATCTAACAACAAGATAGCCTGCCATGATACTGCTGTTTCAAATCTCTTGAGCAACTTCGTCTCAAGCCTTTTAGTGCTTGTAGAAAGCTTAGCAACACTTAATTGCCACAAAGGACATCCAAATTTTTCTGCAAGGGTTTCCACTGTCAAGGTTTTACCTGATCCATCCTCGGTCTATCTCTCCCCAACCAATTTCTTGATGGACTTGCAGTGCCCATATCCTGGTTTGGTTTCATTTTCGCATAACCTACTTGATCAATCATCACCCGACCATCGACACTCTCCTTGTGGTTGTCAGAGGATCTCCAGTATCTCAAGGGCACGTTTTTCGGTGACTTTTTATTTTGTGTACAGAGTAATCCTTGATATTGCATGAAACAGCCCTTGTGTTTTAAAACCAGGTCACAATATTTCATTCCCCTATTGAGAAAGAAGTTCAGGCAATCGTAGTCATATGCTTCCACCGAACCATAAAATCTACCTGCTTCCTCACATGTTCAAACAGAAAATAATCCGAATCACTAATATTGTATCTTGCTACCACAACTTTACCACATAGTTCTTCCTTTGAAACATCACAGTAATAGACAACTTCCACGTCGGGCACCATCAGGGTCCACAACATTTTCAAGGAAGTAACACCAGCTTTCTTCATCCTCTCATACTCTGTGATAGTGTCTTCATAGTCTTTCTTCAGGAAACGGATCAAATGATGCATGTGAAGGAGATCAAATTCGTCCGTTTCTACAGAATCAAGACGACTCTGATAGAGGTCCCTGTTAAATATTAATATTGCCAATAGATGCCTGGAACTAATCTCTCCATAACCAAAACCAGATTTTGTCAATTTGGTAGGCAGTCTGAGTTCGTTTACAAGTCGTAGAAGATACTTGGAATACAACCTAACAACAGTTGCTCGATCTTTGCCGCAATATTCTACCGGTACACCATCCTCTACGTCTTCATCGTAAATTACCCAGAAAGGTTAGGAAAGATCGACAGGTACAGAAGGATCAACTTCATCTGAATCTGGGTAAAACTTCTTAAATTTCTTCTTCGATCCCTCCTGTACACATCTCCAGCATGACCATTTCCAATCTTGACTAGTAACGCCTGGACGCTTCTCTGAACCAAGATATAGCATGCATGATGGTCCTGGGTTAGTTTCTTCAAGGTTTTAAGTTGGTAGTTTAATATTGCAACGGAGAAATAAAAACTAATCAATGAAATGTGATCCATTCAAAACTAGTCTCACTTGTCCAAACCCTGACTTACTTAGTAGAGCATAAGGTTTGATTTAAAACATCATCCAAATCTAGAACATTCATTTAATCAAAGTCCAGGTTTATACATTCATTTAATCAAAGTCCCCTTAATGTTTGTAAAGGACTGCACGAAATATGCCTTAGGCTCGAGACAGCCTGCAGAATGCATATCTGATCCTTCTAAAGGTTTCAAAGTTACAAGTGCTAGGGCTTCATGACGTGGATGAATCTATCAGAATTAAGCCACTCTCTGCACCCCTAGTTAAAAAAACTGCCAGTGCAGAGCCTAGAATTCTAAACCATAAGGACGAACAGGTTGTAATACTATATAGCTTGCTTGTAACATATATTGTTTCTGAAATTTAGTCTTACCATCATCAACTGCTGAAAAGTCTCCATCGTTCGTTTCCAGTGAAGGGCCTGTTATACCTGCTTTTACCATCACTAAAGAATCTGCCTGTTTGTTCAGGCCTCCGATTGCAACTTCTCTGTGAACGAGGAGTTTAGCACCCCTTTGGTAACCTGTAAACGAAAGTATCAAGATGCATGAAAGATTTTCTGGGAGAAATAAACAAACGATAAAGCGGCACACATCAAATCCAAAGCAGTGACGCCGGCCACACTCACAGTTTCTTCTGCGCTGGACTGATTTTCATAACATGAACAAGTTAGCAACTCACAATTCAGCAAGTCATCCCACACCCTGACTGATCGCTTCTTGAAAAACTTTTTAGGTTGAATCGAAACAACAGAAAAAATAAACCAGACTCCTGATACCGTCCTACTTTTGGTGACCCTCATGGGCTATGAAACAAGAATCTCTTGGTATCCGTGAATGTGGTTTGGAAGAATGTGCCGACCCTGATGAAAATAAATTGTTGTTTTGGTGGAACCAAACTTGATGCATGAAATACTGAGAAAATGATAGGATCGAACCTTCATGGGTGAAATATGATGGCTGAAATTTGACAGATGAACGATATAAATGACAATATTGTCTGTACCATATACAGACAGCCTATTTAAAGGTGCACCGACAGTAACATAGAATATATAATCAACCGCGATCACTGAAAGTCTGACTGGTAGGAAAGTTGGTCAGGGCAACCAATTTCGGATTCCCGGGTCATGCGCCTGCAATCTGTGGATGAATGAGCGAAGAACGAGAGTCCTACTTTCCTCCCTGTGCTGCCCGCTGCCCTTCGAGTCTCCCTCTCATCATTCAAAGTTTTCCCGCTCTTTTGCACTTCCTTCTCTCCTCGCCTCTCCCCTAACTTCTTTTAACTCTCTACTGAGTGTTTTATTTTAAAAATAATTTATGGAACCTAAAATCAGGTGTCATCTGGATACAAAAAAGGCTAATTTCTACTTTTAGATCGAATATAATTAGGTAGACAACTATTAGTACATGATGCCAAACTACTTGAGAATTATGTTCTGTACAAATTGGAAGAAAACACCAAAGGAATTGAATCTATGCTTGATCAACCTCCTACTGCATGTTCTTCAGTTTCGGCAACCCTAGCATTCTTGAAATTTATGTATAATGTTTGATTCTGCAAAAGAAAAAGAAATTACTAATTAGTCGCCAGGTGCTAGTCACCACTTGATTCTAAAGCATACATGGACTCTAATTACAACATCAGGTCAAGTTTTAGAGTTTAGAGGTTAGGGATTTAGATTTGAGGGCTTAGGATTTAAGGATTTAGGATTATATGTATATCTCCAAAAAATCAGCATACCTTTTTAGAAATTTTGAATTCACGTACCTTCTTATTTTCAAGAACTGTGGTTCCAATAGTGCAATTAATTTTACTTATGCATTTTTCATTTGGTAGATATAGACTCTTTGACTTTTGGAGATAGAATTGACTTTTTTATTGATAACAAACTTCAACATTTTGAAGTGGCTTATCCCCCTATTTTAGAATGTTGTGAATCTAGTGGTATACTGAGTTTTTTCAAAAAATGTATGATTTGGATGATATGGAGGTTTTAAAAATAAACTTTAGAATTGGTAATTTCTTATATTTTTAGAATTTTGAAATTTAGAAGTGAGGGTTGTAATTTCAATGGTGTAAAAATATTTACTTATGTTATTTCTATTTGAATGATATGAAGGATTTGACTTTTTAGGATTTAAGGTTGACTACAGAATCTTAAGATTTAGAATTATAAGGATGTCCTTGATTTTTGAGCATCAATATTTTAAGATTTTAACTTGACCTATCCTCTTATTTATGGTATTTAGGTTTAGGGTTTAGGATTACATGTGTGTGTCTAAAAAATGAGCATACTTTTTTAGAAATTTTGAATTAATCTACCTCCTTTTTTTTAAGGATTGTGGTTCTAATGGTGCAATTAACTTTACTTATGCTTCTTTCATTTGGTAGATATTGACTTTTTGACTTTTAAAGATAAAATTGAATTTTTTTATTAGTGATGAACTTTAATATTTTGAAGTGACATACTTCCCTATTTTAAAATATTGTAAATCTAGTCGTATACTTAGTTTTTTTTAAAAATGTATGCTTTGGATGATATGGAGGTTTTAAAAAGAAACTTTAAGATCAATAATTTCTTATATTTTTAAAATTTTAAAATTTAGATGTGATCTACCTCCCAATTTTTTAGGGTTGTGATTTCAATGGTATAAAAATATTTATTTATGCTATTTTCATTTGAAAGATATGAAGGATTTGACTTTTTAGAGTATAGAGTTGACTATGGAATCTTAGAATTTAAGGTTTAGGGTTTAGGATTACAAAGATGTCCTTGATTTTTAAGCATTAATATTTTTATATTTTGATGACATATCTCTTTATTTATGGTTTCTAGGATTTTAATGGTATAATTATTTTCCTATACATATTTATAGTTTAAGAGATATAGTTACTTTGACTTAGACTTTAGGATTTAAGATTTAGGTTTAGGATTTAAGATTACTAGAGTGTCCTATAGGTTTTTGATCCTAAATTTCTTGGAGTGTATCATATTTTTGTTCAACTTGAGACTTTACCATGGCATGTATGGCCATAAAATCTTATACAAATGCTTTAATTTTTTAAAATTATATATTTAAATTTTTAGAATTTAGGGTTTAAAAATCCTAATTAAGATTTCAAAACTCTAATTAGGATTTAGAATTTTGGATTTGTTTGCATATAAGATTTGTACATAATTTTTACACGGGTGTATCTTGATTCATGCATGCAAGATGTTAAGCATTCTTCATTCTTTGCTAATATCCACTGCTACTACTACATCAACTAGCTTCAATGCTATTACTTTCCTTCCATACCTCATCTACCATCTTCTTGTAGAGCCTTTGTGGCAACATGATCAATCCTTGTCAGGGCAAGGTTGATTGCCAAAATATCATTTCATCAACATATTATTTTGTATAGCCTACAAATTATATTATCACTACCATCACCTAATTGTCTTGTGCCGTTCAAATGTTCTTCAATAACTCGTCTCTATTTATAGATTTGAAGTTCTTTTCTAGCTCCAATAGTGTATTTTGGAATTCATTTATCATCAACAAGTATATCAAGGATTGAATTTGTTTTCTAAACTTGCCAATCTATTATTCAAGCTTGATGCACTGACTCTATTTGATGCCCCTATTTTTGCTCCTCCACTCCAACCTTGTATTTATAAATTTAGTGCCTACAATACCATGCCTCCATTTTTCTTCCAAACACCTAGCTTTTCATTGTCTAATATTGCAACCCTTCAAGTAGCATGATTTGGGACCTAGCTATAAGCATCTGGATTTGCCAATGCTTTTGTTTTTTCTTATCACAAGATTTTCTATTTCAAACATGACTAAATTACCGTATCATGCTTCTTCACGTACATTATTGTCAATACCTTGTTAACTCTCGCATGTGCAAATTTTGTTTGTAACATTCTTACTGCACACCCTCTCTATATGTACCACACTCTAGATTCTTTGAGCTCCTATGATCGTAAAGTTGCCAACACATCAAATATCCACCCTACTCCCCTTTGATCCTTTTATACACTACATCACATCAACATGTCTCTAATTGCACCCCCACCTCTCCATTTACATGCCACATACACACACTCAATTTACCATCTAACCATATTCATGATTTTCAACCACTTAATTATACATTTAGACTTGTGCAATGGATAACAATAGGAAGAGCATTTTTCTTGCCTATCAGTGTCATGAGATACATAAAAGTAGAAGGATGCCAAAGAAAATGCAGAACACATGATGTTAATGAGAGTTGTGCACTAAAATGGTTAGAAAAACATCAATGAGAACACAAGTTCTAAACTTACAACTACATGCATTGAATATTTTATTTTATTTATTGTTGTCAAAATTTATATTTTTGAATTTTTTTAAATGTTACTCTTAAATTCACTACAATGCATTCTAAGGTAAATCTAATTTGGATGCATATCTACAAACTCACAAGATTCTACTCAACATCCATACTAGTGCTCTACCAACACCAAACATGAATCCAAGCATCGATTGTAAATTTTTGATTAGGTCCATCTAACTCAACTTGTAGCAAGGTCTCTTCTCTCCATGTTCTAAGTTCTGTATGAGATCAATTTTGCCAATTAGAGCTTCTAAAAATCACTTCATCCTAAACAACAACATTTACAGTAGTGAGACAATAGCACAGTTTGAAAAAATACTTTCATTGGCCAGTGGTGCAAAAAATTGTGCTGTGATAATCAAATAATAAACATGCCACACATATCATGAATGGAACTTGGCTTCGATTTGGCTGTGCATCCTCAAATTGTTGTTGCATGTTAGGCTATTGTTGCGGCTGTTGAGTTCTGATTTCTTAATCTATCATATTGATCAAAGAAGCTTCTTTGATGGTGTGTCTTTAGGAATCTCTAATACTTTTAACTTCATAATTATATTCAAAGCTGAGTATATTATCCTAATGCACCCATTCTATATTCCACAATATTTAGAAAAAAAATTCATAAAACTTATATTTAATTAGTTGTAGACAAAAAAAAGTCAAAAAACAAAAATTTGGCATTTCAGCCATGAGAGGCCATTGATATACATAATCAAAAACCATACATTGCATTCTTGAACTCAAAAGAGAATAAACTGAAAGCAAAAGATCTTGGTAGAAGAAATCATTGAAATTACAAGAAATGAAGAAGGAAATAATAGGCAATTAAGTGAAGATAGGCCATCAATAAACTGAATAAAAATAATGACTAAATCCATGAATTCATATTAGGAAGTAATTCTGGTTGTAAAGAAGTAATATGTGCATGAGGAGAATTTTAAAATTACAAATAAACAAGTAAGGATCCAAAATTAAAAATTTGGTAATAAACTCATTGACTGCAGGCTGTCAATAAACAAAACTAGAAGCAACCTTTATAATAAGGATTGAATACCAGGCATGCAGATAGAAAGCATACATAGATAATGAAAAACTAAAAGTATCTAATCGAAGTAGTCAAAGAATTGAAGTAGTCAAAGAATTGAAGAAAAATTCATGTGTATAATCATGTTTCTACCAATAGCTAATTTTGCAATGATTATATTAAAGAAATTGATTAATAAAATAATAAAACTATTTATATTTAATAGCATACTTTATATATTCAAGAATAGATTCAAATCTATGCAATGGATAAATAAATGGTAGAATGTCTATAGCAATTTTAAAAATAACACTATTTTTATTTGAAGAATGCAACTCTTCAATAAATGGATGCAAGACGTAGCACAACACATTTGAATTAAGTTTCAAAAAAATAGAGTGCACGTCTACAAAGAGGACCTGATTCTTTATACAAACAACTTTAAAAAGTGTCTTCTTCAAAAGAATGTCATTCATTTTGTAACACATGGATATTTCATGTAGTCTCAGCAAGTCTGTAGAAAAGATGAAAGGCAATCTCTTCATAACATTCTCTTTGACCTAGGCATAGAGGTCTTTAGTCCAATATAAAACTTCTTAGAAAGCATGGCAAAGAATTTTTTTTTCTATGAAACATTTGACAATGTTGCAAAAACAAATGTCTAGAGAATTAGATATGCATCATAAAGCTATAAAGCATTTAAAGCCTTTGATGTAGAGGACTATATGCTTCTTTTTTGGATAAAATGAATCATAAAGGCATTAAAAGTGATATATATTTTTCTAAATACAATTTTAAAAAGGTAAAAATAAAAGAGGCCCTTCAAAGGAATGAGTGGATGCATTGAATTTATTTGAGTGCAATTTTGTGACAAGAAAAAAATAAAAATGTAGTAATGTTCTATACGAAGCATGAAATAAGAAATACAATATTATAAACAAAAATGATTCAATACCTAATGGCAATGAAAGATAGAATACTATTGAGAAGTTGCTAATAAGCTTCATATAGAATTGTTGATTATGCAAATTAATTAGATGATTATTAAATTTATAAAAATATATATTTTTATTTAAAATTAAAAGAAATGAATGTATAGAGGTCATTCAATTATATTTTGTACAAAATATGTATCATTTACTGAAATCATTAATACCTTTTGTGTTTAAACATAAAAACTATTAGCTGCAAGGATGCTCGAATTACTTGAAACACAAAAAGACAGAAGTTATGATTTTGATGGCTTGTTAACAATGAAAGGTTGCTTCAAACAAGTGCCAATTGTATAGAATAAATTAAAGCCTTTGATGATAATATTTCAATGAGATGCTTCTAAAAGCATATCAAAATTTCTTGATGTAATGAATAAATTATCAAAATAACATACTTTTGGCATCTTCTATAAATAGAGGGATCTATTGACTTGATGGTTTTGAGCACAATATTGATCAACAATTTTCTAGAATCCAACAAAATCTCCAATAGGAATTTCAATACGTGCTCTCAAATAATCTTGTTAATTTTTTTAAAGAAGTCTTTGTTGGAATAAATATAAATTTAGATATTTAAGACAAAATTTGTAACAATAGGAGATGTAAGCATACTATTGGAGATCTCTTACAAAATCATAGATGATTCTTAAATGATAACAATAAAAAATAATAACTAGCATGCTAGATTCATTTAATCTATAATAGAAAATGATAAATAGCATATTAGATTCATTCTATGTATACTAAATAATAAATTATTTACATCAAAAAATATTATTTGTTAAAAAATTGATTGGCAAGCTATTAATAATATAGATAATATAAAAAGATATTTAGAAATTATCACAACAATAATGTCTTTGGTCTAGCACTAAGCAAAAAATTTAACCTCTCTACATTATGAGGCAGCAAATGCTTGTAATTAAATTTATGGTTGAATTTATGGCTAAAAACGATTTGATTCACTTATTTCAATGTAAAAGTTAGTGCATAAGCTGGTGGCAAACCCATGCTATGCCATTTAGTTCATTTGTATTGTTATATATTTGCAGATATAAAGCATTTTATTTCATTTTTTTTGACATTCTTATAGGACAAATTGTCAACGAAAAGTATAATGTTCTGAAATGCATCAATGTCTTTAAAACCATGTAGATGCAAGAAGAGCATCTTTAATAGCTTTATAAAGAAATATAGGCCTTTCACTATCAATGTTCTACCTAGGTTAAGAATCTTATTACATTAATAGTGGTCAAACCTTTGACACCTTTAAACAAATTTTATGCATATATTTTCTCAAATCTAATAAAGGATCTTCAATATAGAATCTACGTTTCTCTAAATGCAATCCAATCAAAAGACAACCTCAAAATATCTCAAGTAGAATTCTAAAAATATTTTAATATCTATTTTAATCAAAAATATTTTTTTAGCCTTTTATCATTATTATTAATTTATTATGGGAAAAATATTATTATTGTTATTTATTAACTATTTATATTTAATACATAGAAGTATTTATTAACTATGGGAAGAAAAGCTATCTTGGCACTTATATATTTTTCAACATTCTATTTATGAATAGGTAAAGAAGCCAGTTGATCATTTATCCATCCATTGGTCAAGGAAGGTGCATTATTGCCACTTCTTTGTCCATTAGCATCCATGACTATAAGCAGATATATAAATAATAAAGTGCTTTTCATCACAGTGGAAGTTTTTGACATATTTAGTCAATAAATGAACAAATTATTAGACTGCAAAGCTAAAGAGAAAGCACAATGTTTTGTTAGACTACTAAAATAATTTATAAATTATGTAATGCATTTACAAATCAATTGAAAAGAAGATTGTATTTAAGATGAGATAGAAAATTGAAATTTATATTGGTTGCATATTTAAATTGATTAATTAGATTTTTATTGATTAGAATTTTATTATCATTATGAAAAATAAATTTTATTTATAATGGTGGAAGGACTATGAAATTACTTTTGAATTCAAAATTATTCGTTAGGTCTCTACTTCCTTCAAATATCCTAGTAAGTTTCTTGCCTAATTTTTAATTAGACCAAAAAAAAAAAGAAAAAAAGAAAAAATTCTAAATAATTAGCCACCTTATAAATGAGAGCTGGTTCTAAAATAGCAATTGCTATAGAATCTTTTTTCTGTCTTTTTGTCCTTGGCATCTCAACATTGAGCTTAATTAGATACTAGGCTGTAACACATAATTTTTATTTTATATCATTGAAAACTTTTCTTGCCTTTTTAAAGAAATGGGATATTAGACTAAATTAATTGTTGGAATTGATTCAAAAGATTGTTAAACTTTGCTCATACTACAAATTACCACTATAGAAGGTGGATTGAGAATATTCATCTATAATAATAACAATGCAATGTATGTATTAAAAAGTGTATGTAGAAGAGCGATAAGGTATGGATAATTTATTTTAGACTCTTCTTTATTCAACTTCATTTATTGTCTTGTAACAGCACTCAAGCATAGATTGCTATAAAGCATTATAGCTGACTATCATTAATTTTAGCAGATGCTGATTGTAGTGCTTAATTTAAATAGAACACATGGCAAAGTATAGCCTTTAAAAAATAAATTTATATCCTTCATTTTTTTGAACATCATGCATATCTTTATTGATATAGAAAAATTCAAGGATCAATAGACCTTGATTTTATAGACTACGTTTTTAATTATTTCAATTATAAAGAGTGCAATTATAATGGCAATTAATTGATAAATTCTACAAGCAAAGAACATTTGATAAGTTTTCTTGAAAACTTTTGTGCAGCAAATACAAAATATACATAAAACCATTACTATAACCGTCACCCTTGTCAACCATCAATGAACTATATGATTTTTGAAATCAAAATTAACTTTAGTCATTATGTATTGTACAAAAGCAAAAACAATTGAGTAATAATAGAAAAATCATAGAAAATTCAGTTACTATTTTCAATAAAGAACAAATTAATGTAATACCATTTAAAAAATAAAAAAAGTTAACATAAAGGAATACATGTTTAATTATAATATCATCAATAATTGCATGAAATTTAAAAAGCATTTTATATCAAATATTTGTTTTAATAAAGTAGAATTATTGTATTTGTTTTTTCTTAAAAACTCACTAATAATAATTTTTTTGTACAATTCAAATTTATAAAATAAAATTTATTTTAAAAATAATTTTATCTTAAATAAACTATTAATAAAATTTAAAAATAATTTCTTATTTTATATATAATTTCTTATTTTACATATAATTTCTTATTTTACATATAATTTCTATATTAAAAAATTATATATAATTCAATAAATTTAAGAGAATTTTATTATTAAAAGTTTAATAAATTTAATTTTAATTTAAAGAAATTTATTATATATTAATTAATTAAAAAAATATATAAATATTTTTCTATATTCATTTTATTTTTAATAAAAAAAATAATTTCATCTGATATTAAATTGTAATTAATAAATAAGTAATTTATATCTAATAAAATTAGGATTTTTATTTACGTATATTTTATTCAAAATTAATGCTCAAAATATAAAATTTATTGACATTTGTTACTACTGAATAATATTCTTTGAAATCAAAATTTTTTGAATATTTTTAAAATTTTATTAAATTAAAGAAGTCACACATCTATAAGCTATAGAATTTTTGATTAAATAATTATGCAATGAAATTACCTTGTTAGTTTTTTGATGTTTTTTAAATTCAAAATAGTATTAATAGACTCAAATTTTAAAATCTAAAAAGTAGTTTTTGCACTTTCTAAGAGTATTAGCAACTTCCACAAACTATATCTAATGTACTTGAGGAGTTATTAAACTTAAGAATTATAACTAAGAAAATATTTCAACTATTGCCATTGCAATGTCCATTACAGGTCTTATGTCCCATTTAAAATTGACTTTATTATATTCTAAATTAAATGATTTTATTAAATGTCTTAAAGCATTTTTTAAACTTAAAACATCATCAATAATTTGTATAGCCATAATTTATTAAGTTAAATATTTCAAAGTTAGTCGAAGGTACCATTTTACAGACTTTTGGCAACTCCACCATGCATATTATGTTTTCTAGCCTTCTTCAATAGATATAACTTGAACTCTTTCTCCATCTCTCTCAATAAAAACAATGAAAGAAGGGTTCGAAGGCACTGTTTACAGGGCTCCGCCACGCCTGGGATAGCACGCATAGGTAGGGCGTCGTCACAACGCAGCAGGCCTTCATGGCTATAGATGCGAGGAAAGGCTGAGATTGACAGGCCGAACGCTCCGAGGGTTTGGCGCTGGCACAATACCAACTTGTCTTCATCCTGTCCGAGCCAGCCTTCACTTCTCAGCTGGGGTCGGTTGGGTCTCGTGAGAACGCCTTCGATATTCTCTCTAGAGGCAACTTTTCTAGTTCGTGTGAAATTCTCTTGCATGTACTAAATAGTCGTTCGATCGACCTTCTGAAACGCAGCTCAGAGTCATCATCGCGTCTGGGAGGTTTGCAGTAGCGCACAATACTGTCACGTTTGGCTGTTGACGATGGTGTAGCTCCGATTAATCAGCGGCGTTGAGATCCCCCGATCCAAAAATGACGGAAGCTGTGGCGATAGCTGCAGGCATCACGGCCGTCAAAGCAGTGGTGGGAAGACTTCTGTCGGAGATCGTGAAGAATTCCACGCTTCCGGAATGGAATCGCAACAAGAACGCCAGGCAGGTGGGCAGGATGCTGGCCCTGCTGAAGCCGATCGTTGATAGCATTGATCCGCACACCGCTCCAATTACGGTGGAAGATTGGCTGCAGAGTTTGCGCACGAGGTTAGAATGCTTAGCGCTCCTGCTGCAAGAGATCAGTCGCAGCAAGCGGAGCCGGTTCTCTATTTCTCAGCATTCTAATTCCAAGAGCCTGGTGAAGGAGATAGAGCTGCTCAGCGAGATTCTGTCCACAGCTCCAGTTGTGGTGTTGTCACTATCCATTGCGGCTTCTGCAGATGTGCCTGGGCTGCACGAGCGGTGCAAGGAAATCAGTGAACAACTAGAGGAGTTTCGGAATGAGATGCGGGGGCAGGGTTTGGCTCAGATCACCAGACTGGCACTCGAGACGCCGACCAACTCGTATGGCAACTCAGTCGACTTGATGACTGCGAACAGGGCGTACTCGTCTATCAGGAATGAAGCGGATGCCATCCTCTTGACTTCCTCAGACACTAGTACTTCGCTAGAAGCTTCGAGCTCCACTGACAGGCCGCTCGGCGTGGACATTGAGACGGTGTTTGGCGGAGACGAGGTGGTGGATGAAGCAAAGCAGCTGTTGCTCGACGAGAATACGAACAAGTTAGGGTTATGGGCATCAGGTGGGACAGGGAAGACGCTTGCCGCACAGCGAGTCTTCAATGACGACGCTATTCAAGCGCACTTCACAGGAGGCTGCTTCTGGCTCACCGTCGGAAGAGCCTTATCCTTGGGGAGCCTCCTTCACAACCTCCGATTTTCGATCACTGGGCTCTCAGACGCTCGCCGGAAAATCCCCATCGAAGATTTGAGTAATCAGCTGTGTAAGGAGCTCCAAAATAAGAAGAATATGCTCGTTGTTTTGGACGATGTTTGGGAAGAACATATGCTACGCTCGGTGGAACTTGTGGTACCCTTAAGAGCGGGGTGCAAAATCTTCGTCACCACTCGCATCGACCAGGTCTTAAACAAAAACCATGTGACGAAGCTCCCAGTTCCCTTGCTATCTTCAGAGAACAGCCGGAAGTTGTTCTGCTGGCAAGCATTTCGAGGGACCGCTCTTGTGCCCCCGGAGCTCAAAAAGCTAGCCCAGGACGTCACGGCCGAATGTGGGGGGCTTCCGCTGGCGCTCAAAGTTATTGGCAGTGTGTTTGCAGGGAAAACTGACAGGGGCTTTTGGGAGTTATCGTTGAAGAAGCTGAGGAACGCGGATGTTTTAGACCAGGATCACGAAACACAGCTCTACAATCGACTCAAACTCAGTGTCGATGAGCTTGCATCTATCCATCCTAGGCTCAAGGATTGCTTTCTTTACTTCGCTGCATTTCCAGAGGATTGGAAAGTACAGGTATACGACGATTTGCTTCCGTTGTGGACAGGGGAACGGATTGTGGGAGAGAATTCTCAGTATGATCCGAAGCTGCAAGCATGTGAGCTGGTCGGCTGGCTGGTCTCCCGCTCGCTGATCGAGCTCAAAAGTGAGAGGTCGGTTGCAGGCTCCAGCGAGCAGTTTTTGTACTGGACGGTGCACGATGTGCTTCGAGACTTGGCGCGCCACATCCTACAGCACAATGTGGCCATCACCCAGCGAGAGTGCCTGTATGAGGCAGGGCGGGACTTGGAGTTTCCTCGTGAATGGGCTACTTCTCCTGACGCTAAGGATCCAGGAAGAGTTTGTAGATTGTCTGTCATGTCGACAAACCTCAAGGAGCTACCTCCCAAACTCTTGGATGCCCCTAAGCTGCAGGTTCTTCTGTTACGAAATAATCCATTGAAGATTTTTCCCGGGATCTTCTTCAACAATCTTCGCAACATCCGCGTTCTAGATCTGAGGCGCACTTCTATCACTTCGCTGCCGAAGAGCGTAGGAGCCCTCGAGCTTCTCTCAGTCCTTAATGTAGCTTATACGCCACTAGTGACGCTTCCAGCCTCTCTCGGGAACTTAGCCGGCATGGAGCAGCTCCATCTTGATCACTGCAATAGCCTCACTTACCTACCTAATAGTCTGTCTTCCCTCACTAGATTGCGAATTCTGACAATTAACACATCTGCCGATGTGTGGAAAGATCGTTGGAGTGTGTTCAGAAGGAGATGTGTGTTGCAGGACCTGGTTGCCTTGGTTGCCTTGGAACAGTTGTGCCTCAGTAATTCTGGTTTCAAGGCCGCAACATTCCCAGCTGGATTGCTGACGGCACTGACAAGGCTCCAGAAGTTGGATCTGCTGAGATTTGAGCACCTTTGTGAGTTCCCAGATCTTACACCTGATGACTTGCAGCACTTGGAATTCCTCAACCTCACTAGATGGAGGGGCCTCACCTCTATCCCTGCTTCCTTTTGCTCCCTCCCGCTTCTGCACACCTTGATCCTCACCTTCTGCACGAGTTTGCTCTTCCTTCCCGCTCTAGATCGCCTCTCAAATTTGGTGATGTTGGACCTCACTGAATGTTCTGCACTGGAGGTTCTACCAGCCACCTTTGGCAGGAAAGATGGCTTTCCAGCTCTCGAGGAGTTATGGTTGTATGGATGTGATAAAGTTGCAACTTTTCCAGAGTTGGAGGATGGTGGAATGCCGTGCCTAAAACACCTTGATCTTTCAGGGTGGTGTCAGCTTGACACTATTCCAAGGTCAATTGCCAGATTAAAAAACTTACGATTCTTGGGCCTCTCGTTATGCTTCAACCTAAGGACCATGGAGCATGAGCATTTCAGCTTCCGGAGCCTTGCCAACCTTGAAGAACTCGTTTTGGATTCCTGTAGCGCACTCTCCCAAGTGCCTGAAAGCCTTGCTCTGTTACCCCACTTCAGACTGCTGAGAATGAGGTCGTGTAATGCTTCTATCTCTGTGCAACTGAAGCAAGCAATTTCGGAGGGAAGAGTGACATTAATGCGCTAAATTACTCTCTCTCATGTAAGTAATTCCACCTTATGTATAAGGCATGAAGCCATTCCGTTTTCTTCGATAGGGTGGGATGTCAAGATTGCATGCTAAAAAATGAAATGATAATTAGAGAAATTCAAAAAGTGAGCCAACAAGATACCTTGAGTTCTGCTCCAAAGTATCTCCTATTTTATTCCTTCCATTAGAATTTTATTAAGTATAGTTTCCTTATTAAGTATGGAGGCGCTTGGTGGTCTTTAAACCAAAGGAAAAATAATTTTGCCGTCAACAAAAACAACTAGACTAATTGTTTAGAGGCCACCAAGCTCTTTCATACTTAATAAAGTATTAAACTCAATAAAATTTGTAATTGAAGAGACAATATAGGGTATATATTGGAATAAAACTTAGGGTATCTTGGTTCAAATTTCAATTTTTTCTAATTACTCTTAGCACAAATATAAGTCGTAAGAAAGCTAGGCAGCAAAACATCCAATGTGGAACAACATACTATGTGGAAAATTGCAAGCAGGTTGGAGATTTTTTCTGTGCTCCATTTATGTCTCAGCTTTTGATAGTTTGTGAGGCTGCAAATGGTCACTGTTGATTAGCTTGGTGGCACATTGATATCCCTCTGGGTATAGTTGAGTGTGAGATTGTCATGTACTTTGCATGTTCTTAGGGAGATAGGACAGTACTGTACTCTCTTGCCACGAGCCCATTTCTTTCTGGAGATTATATGTGATCAATCTGATGTAATCAATAAATTTTATGTGCTTTTGTGATTATCGGAATTTTTTTATCAAACATTTACACCTACAGTATTTTTATTGCAAAGATGGATGAGTTGGCCACACACATTACACATCATCTCTAAATGTAAATGTAGTGATGAACCTATTCTTACTTCTTCCAATTAGATTAGCCCGTCCACTAAATCATCTCAACATCTCATCAAAGTCTAATTACAGAAAATTCCAAATTTTCTTCATACAAGCACCTGAGTTTAGAAGTCCTATCACCACATTCTTTCTATTATAACTAATTAAGTTAGTAAAGACCCAAGACAATCATGCCTGGTTCCAACTGCCATCAAACTCATGCCACCAATAAAATGGAATAGAAGAATGGTGATTATTGGCTGGAATTTGGTGCAAATGGAATGAAAGAGTAGTAGTAATAGAAATATGGAAGAATTTTTCATTACTTTTGGAAGGAAAGAACATGGTGGAAATAAGACTTGTTACATGGTGGTTTCTTGAATGATAATAAGGACATTATGCACACATTTGATGGAGGTTACAAGTTGGTAGAGTGTTTAATGGGTTGCTCTACTCATGGTCTTGAGACTTTTATAAAAACATCCTTTTAAAATTCATAATTAATACAATTTTTATGAAAAAAATATGAGTTAAGTTGTATTGATCTTGGAACCTTGTTTTTGTTAAGGAGAAGAACTCGATGAAAAAGTAATTCAGACAAGTGAGCCTTCATTCAAAGAAAGGTAACAAAATACAAATAAATAAGTATGTATATTGAAAGAGAAACTAGAATGGCTATTGCCAAAAGACAAGAAAACTAGAGATCCTTGAAACTAGATTGGAAGCAAGAAAAGATTTGACAAGAGTGAAGAAGGCTTCACTATTGTCTCTATATATACTATCTAACTAGGGGCTACGTGGCGACGTTCTATAAGACGTCTAATATGTGTTGACTTTGTAGGACACATGCCTTGACTTATAATACAAGTTTTTCTACGTGTGGGCCACATAACTAGCTTGGTCTTCAAGCTAACAACATGTGTGGAACATGGCCAACTTGTTGACCACATTTCAAATCCAAAAAATCAATTAAAGACACCTATAAAGTCAAAGCAACGTCTATAAAGCTTCTAAGAAGCTTCCATATCAAATACTATAGAATTAACTTACTTTTACCTACTTTTACTTACTTCTACTTATTTGTATATGTAATTACTAGCTTACATGAGTATGTTTGTGACATTATCCCGCCTTCTAGGGACGAGTTCTATAAGAAGCGGTCATCATATGTTAAGAAAATCTATGATGCAAAAAATTATATTTGCCACATATTTTGAACTTTGTTCTCTTTGAAGATGATTGATAGGACCTCTCAACCATTGGTAGTGTCCCATACTAAGGCGGGAAGACCACCCAGTTATTTAGTCATTGTTGAGGCCTTCATAACTTCCTTTGAATAGAACATTTGGAACACCATTAGAAGTTGTTCCTACATCTAGTAAAATCACCAAACATCGGGAGTCCCTTCTCAAGTCGTAATACCAAATGTGTTGTATCTAGCCATCTATTCGAAGAAGAACATGTCGTTCTTGAAGATCTTCATCTCGATTGAGTCATCTTGAAAGTTGTGACAATCCTAATGTCTCGTCCGATAAGTCAGCAAATGAAGGCTCTTGAGTCAAATCTACTAGTTGTTGGTTCTCCATCTCCCGAGCATCACAACTATAAAGAAGTTATAAATAAGGATTGAAAGTAGAATGTTATCTTACATAGATCTTGTTTCTTTTATAAAAAAGATTTTCATCTTGATTTTGATGGATGTCGTCGATGAAAAGCCTCCATTGCCTTTGCTGCATTTGTAAGATTCTTTATTGGCTCCTATGTGCATTCATTAATATCATATCCTTGCCAATAGACAAGATATTTTAATTTATTTTGGCGTTGCCTTGAATCTAAGACTTCTTCTACTTCAAACTCTTCATTATTGTCCACTTTTATAGAAAGAGGTAGAGCTTATCGTCTTCTTAATATGTCCACTGTTTTGTATGGTTTAAGAAGAGACACGTGGAATACTGAATGGATTTTCATTGACTCCGGTAGATGTAAACGATATGCAACTGGATTGATTTGTGCAGAAATAGAAAATGGTCCCTGCTTTTGATAGTCCAACTTGTCACAATGATGAGTGGTCTTGATATTGTGATAAAGTAGTCATATCTTATCACCTAAGTAGAATGGTGGTTGTTCCTTTTGATAGACATCCGCATTGATCTTTTGTTGTTCTTGAACTTCTTTTAATTATGCCTTTAATGTTGCATATAGCTCTAATAAATGATTTGCCAAATCTTTCGCTATAGGATTATCAACTTTTAAAAAGTGAAAAGTATCAAAGTTGTAGATCATAACCATAATTGGCAAAAAAAAGATGTTTGTTTTGTAGAAGAATATATCTTATTATTATAAGAAAACTTTGCTAATGGCAAAAGAATTGTCCAATCATCTTATTGGTAGTTGATAGTACATCTTAAATACTACTTCAAAACTTTATTAATACACTCAATTTATCCATTAGTTTGAGGATGGAATGCGGAAGATAGTTTTATATCTACTTTTAGAATCTTGAAAAGAGTCCACCAAAATCTCGATACAAACTGAGTTTCTCTATACAATATAATATCTTTGGATAATCCATGATAGCGATAGATGTTGTCAAGAAAGAGCTTAGCTATTTTTTCACCTTTGATAGATTTTGTACATAATAAAATATGTGCCATCTTGGTAAAATAATCTACTATCACAAATATAGAGTCATAAGCACATGAGATTGAAAGATTTGTGATGAAATCCATAGAAACAGAAGACCATGGTTGTTTTGGAATAAATAATGGTTGAAGAAGTTTGTAAGATTGATGACGAGGAATTTTTGATCTTGAACAAATATTGCATGACTGAACAAAATCTTTTATATTCTTCCACATTTGTGGCTACCAAAAATCTCTAGATATTAATTCCAAAGTTTCATTGTACCCAAAATGTCTTGCTATTGGAAAGTCATGACGAGCTTGAAGAACACGTAATCAAGTTTCATCTTTTTAAACATATAGGCATCCTTCAAAATAAAGTAGATTGTTCTTGAATTCAAACTTGAAAGAATCATGAAACTTTGAAGGATTTTCTTTAATATCACAAATAAGAGAACCAAAAGACATACTTGACCGAACTTGCTTAATGAAAGTTGAATCAATAGTTAGTGTTGATTTCATTGCTCAAAGATGAAAATCCTCTAGCTTTAAGAGAATTATTTGTTGTTAATTAAAAGCAACATCTCCTTCCTTTGGTGCAAGGTAAGATCGTCCAAAGAGTGTATCTGACAAACCTTGTTTTTTTTTCGATTTATAAGTAATCTTGAATTCAAATCTTGACAAAGACATACTTCAACAGGTTTGCCAATGATTCAAAATACGTGTTGACATAAAATATTTAAGATTCTTGTGATTTGCATATACAGTGAGTGGACTAGGAGCACCTTCTAGGTAATGGCACTATTCTTGAAATGAATCCACAATTACAAGAAGTTTTTTTTGTCATGGATCTTATAGTTGATCTCGACCGCTAAAACATTTTTGGAATAAAAAGCTATTAGGTGAAGTTTATCATTTGTTTCCATTTGTGACAATACGACACTTAAAGCAAAGTCTAATACATCTATTTCTATAAAAAATGGCTTAGAAAAATTGATGCAATACAAGATTGGTGCAGAAACAAACACTATCTTTAAAGCTTCAAATGCTACTTCCGCTTCTTAATTCTATTGAAGTTTGTCTTTACAAGTCAAATGTGTAAGTAGAGCTGCAACTTGAGAGAAGTCTTTGATGAAGATCTGATAGTAGTTGGCAAATTCTAAAAAGCATTAGACATCTCTTACCGTTTTTGGGATCTTTCAATTCATAATAACTTGAATTTTTTTAAGATCCATCATAAGTCCATCATTTGAAATGATGTATCCTAAGAAGTTGACTTGAATAGTGTGAAGTGGATACTTTTCTATCTTGGCATAGAGTTCCACATCTTTTTATTTTTATAACACATGACGAACATGAAGTTCATGTTCTTCAAGGTTCTTAGAATAGATTAAGATGTCGTCTAGGTAATAGACAACAAAATCATCTAAAAACTCCTAAAAGACATCATTCATTAGATGTTGGAATGTTGCTAGTGCATTTGTAAGTCCAAGAAGTATGACATTGTATTCAAAATGTCCATACCTAGTTTGAAACGTTGTCTTCTATTCATCTCCTTCTTTCATGGATATCAAATTATATGCTTCTCGTAGATCTATTTTTGTATAGATTTTAGCTTGATTCACCTGATCAAGGAGTCCAGATATCAAAAGTAGCGAGTACCTATTTTTGATGGTGATTTTGTTGAGTCCTTAATAATCGACATATTTGGTAATGATCGATCTTTTTTCTTCACAAATAAAATTAGAGCTCATGCTGGAGATTTGGATTGAAATATGAAATTCTTGACTAGATTCTCTTCAATATACTCCTTGAGTTTAGCCAACTCATTTTGTGATAAACTATAGATTGCTCTAAATGATGGTTGTGTTCTTTTTTGAAGCTCAATTGAATAGTCATAGGAACAATGTTCCAAAAGTGTCCACATTCTTCTTCTCCAATACATCTTAAAAATCTTGATATTGGCTTGAAATGCTACTTGAAGTCTTTCCACCAATAGAAACAAGTGCAGCATAAATGACACAAGGTGATCCTTATTTTGTAGCATGCAAAAAAGCTCTTGTACCTACAAATATATGTTTAATTGTACTAGATTTATGACTTTCTACTTGATTAACTATGCTCTTAGTTATACTTTTAGAAAAATCAAGTCTATGAAAAGTCTAATCTATTTTAAGATTATATTTTTCTAACCATGATAAAGCTAAAATGATTGGATTAGAAAGAGATTTAATGATATTAAATATTACAAAGCTACTATTATCATTAATTGCTATTCTATAGGAAGGATTT